CCTGCCCTCCTGCTTTTCGCGTGTTTACAGCATCAGTGGCTTTAGATGGGTCTCTACTCAACATCATGGCTGCCCCTGTTCGTCCTTCGCGCTCTTCTGGGACAACCATGGTCTACAAACAAGAACACCCCAGATAAGCTCATTTTTACGCTCAGAGAGCGATTCTTAGTCGAAGTAATGCTTTCGATTTTGCAGTCATACGCGACGCGAATGGCTAAAAAGTCTGGCGCCACTTTTTCGACCAATCAAAGACCATTCGTGACTTGTTCACAAGAGGGTTCCCGCGTTTGGCGCCCGCTACATGTATTTTTTTTAAATTCCGATTGGTTTGTTGGATTATCTGCGTTTTCTGTAACTGGCTTGGTTTTTACAGTAGAGGAGCTGTTCTAGTAATGAGAACTTCAACGAAGTCTTATTGTGACCGCTGTAACGTGACGATTAGTATGGAAGCTATGGTTGCATTGTTGTTTTATAGCTTCAGATTCATTACATTCTCGAGCTTTTAAGTATGCAGTCTTATTAAATTGCGGAAAACTTACTCCTTTATCTTTGATCAGAGTCTCGAACGCTTCTTTTTCTTTGCGTAGTGTAGTTAAGTATTTCTGAGGAGAAAATAAACAAAATTAAAATTACAAAAGAGTAAAATCATAGAAAAGAGTGAACATACCTTGGTCTGACATTTCTAAAAATTTATAATACATAACGATAACTAACGACATAAATCAAACTTACCTATAGCATCAAAAAATCAGAATATAAAAAATTCAAGAAGAATAGATTTTCCTCATTAGCTTTCAGTATTTATTTTCGGCACATGTGAAATGCGACGTTTGAACTGGGCGTAACTCAAAGATACCTGTTCCTCGACAGAGCCAGAGTAAATGAGAAAATATACTCGCAATGGAATTCCAGGTCTTGAGGCCTTAAAAACCTGAAGACAAACAAATGGATATCTCGTAAGCGTGTTACATCTGAAGTTAGTACTCTGTCATGACTTTTCGTGGATGAAATCTAACGTCTTAGATTAAAGCTACCAAGCTGTACTTTCCTGTACACCTGATCATTAAGCTGTGCAAGTTAGTCTAGGATAAGAAACTCACTTATCTATCTGTGCTGAACGTTAAGAAATGGTAAAATTACAAGGAAGTTATACTGGACAGTTAATAAAAACTACCTCTAGCTGACGTATAAACTGCATCTGTGCGTCGTAGAGCACCACATATCGAGGTTCGACTTCATTAAGAGTCCTCAGCAAACTGTAGCGATCGCTAGCAAATAAAGAGAACCAAATACAGCTAGTTAATTTAACACATTATGGAGGTTGAGCAAGGAAACGTCTAAGAGTGCGAATGAACGCAACACTGACCTACAATCAGCGACAAAATTAGGTGAGATATGTTGCCCAAAACGACCTTTTTGACGTTAAGCTGACCTAATAAGGGTAAAATGAAATTTTCCTACCTCCACCCCCTCCAAGCAATGTTGAGCCACTGTTAGAGTTACTTGCAGAAAACGCCCCATTTTTGAATGAAGGGGAAGGGGAGGGGTATTGTTTTGTTCTCCGAAGTTGCCCCTATTTGAGGAATGTTTTGAAGTCCCAAGCGTAACATGAACTACCTCCCTCAAGAAAGCTGTCTTACAAGGACAGGAACTCCTACGGCTTTCTTTCTCCACCCCACTAACTGCTCTCAAACTCCGAAACCTCAAAATGGCCGACGTGCTACCTTCCTCCGGTCACTTATACGGACAGGGGTGCCCTCCGTCTCCTCTACCCACTCTACCCCACCCACTGGTCTCTAGCTCCACAACCTCAAAATGGCCGACGTGCTACCTTCCTCCGCTCCCTAACACGGACAGGGGGCTCCCTCATTCTCCTCTCCCCACTCTACCCCACCACCTGCTCTCAAACTTCGCACCATTAAAATGGCCAATATGCCATCTACCTCAATGAAGCTCCCTACACGGACAGGGGGTACCCTCTGACTCCCCTCCCTACCCTACCTGACCACCCGCTCTCTAACTCACGAGTAGAACGTAAAGCGTGATACGTTTAAAGTGGTTCACCTGCATCCTGTTAAAGGGTGAATGATAACAACTCGTGAAGTCAAAAGTTTTATCTGCCGTGAATCTTCCTCTGTTTCCTTGTTCTCCTGATCACCTGGCTAAAGAAATAAAAAGCAATAATGATCTCCACGAACCGAAAATCCCCAAACAAAAAAAATTATGTTGCCGCAGTTTACATGTGCGCGCGTGTCTCTGAAGAGTTAGCCAATCATTTAATTACTTCATTTCCCTTTTTTAAAAAATTTACCAAACTTGGCTTGCCACGAGTCTGTTTGCGAAGAAAAAGAAACCTGCCTGAGATACCGTTCTACTAGCCTAAAGCCGCTAAACAGCAATTTCATGGTGCAATGAGTCAGGACCGTTATAGGATTAGAGCTATACCTAAAGAGTGTGTTCAGTATTTAATTTAAATCATTTCTTAAAGTATTAATTCTTATATTTCGTGTGCAAAGTTAACGTCAAATTTCCAGTAGACTGGTTTGTACTCACTCTCAAGATGACATTTGATCTTGACCCTTCAAAGCGAAAAACAGAACAAAAAATAAGCTTGAGCTTTGAGCACAACGATAAGAAAATCGCGCCTTATCGGGGATGACAAATAAATGACCATTTCAAATTACCTTTGAACAATTGTTCTGTTGGTGGACTAATTGGAAAGGAGAAAAAGTCAGGATGTCAGTTCATATAGCCATGACCGTTTTTAATTATACACTAAGTGTTATTTGTTCCGTAAGAATCAAATTAAAAACAATTATTATTCATTCAAAATATTTCCACGATTCTGATTGGCTAAAAGCACACGTTCAATTCACCAAAACCAGTTACTGATGACCGAATTTGGAAGAAATTTGACTTTAACGAGGAAATGACCTCAAAAATGCAGCGTTTTCGCAGGTTAAGGCACCGTTAACCGAGAAGACCTGAGGACGAGGTTGAGTTGTTTTGGTTGTGAACTTGAAAAAATGGCGGACATTTCACTCGTTTCAAGAGTAAGAACTAGGTGAAAAAATAGCTAAAAACATGGCAAGAACAGCAAGAAGACAACTCGAAGGGCGATCTCCATAATTCTTCATAAGATACTCAGCCTCATTCATTAACTGTTAATTATTTACCATTCATCAATGTCATCTGCTTGGACAGGTTTCTTGGACGTTGTTTGTTTTCCTTTTCTTTTCCCTTTTTCTCCGGCATTAGCTCTGGCTTTACGACCACGCGACGTCGCCGGAAAATTCTGTAAAATTTGAAAGGAATTGTTTATAGTTCGCGTATCCCCAACATCATATCAGTATCGGTAACTAGTTAAAAGTATATAACTATTTATGTCATGTTTAATTAAATATTTAATGAATATTTTTATGAGTAACTATTTATGAGTATATTGATAAGTAACTATTAATGAGTATACTTGAGAGTGGGGTACAATTTTTACGGACAACGGTTTGTCCTAGTGAATGGTAAACAACTGTTATTTAGCTGGAATTATTTCGACGACAGTTGGGCTCTCGTTGGTTACTTCGAGGTCACATAACACTTCACAACAAGACTGTTTCCCGCAAAAAGTCTATGAACAGGTAACATCGCAAAATCTCTGACGTCAGAGGGTAACAATGCAATGTTCACTGCGTATGCTCCAGACCATTTTCAGAAGTTTACTTTCGTAATTATTTACACGAAGGTAGACATTTAGCAAATCACTTAGTGAATGTTCTTTTCTTGGAATTTAGTTAATTTTGTCCATTCATTAAGTGTTTACATTTGTCTAATCGGTGAAAAGCTTACCACGTTTTCGGAACATTCTGCTTCATCCTCGCCTCGTAGTGTCTCAGCGCTTAAGGAAACTTGAGAAAACAAGTAGGTAAGAAAGTTAATTAACAGCTTTAGGTTAATTAAACGTATCGGGCCTAGTTAAACTTGGAAACGTTGTTGCATCGGTGAAAAAGAGGAAGTTTTCCATTGGGTTTAAATACATTACTTGCTTTCAAGAAACAAAATCTGCGTTCGCAACATTTGTTTCTCGTAAGGATAAACTGGAAACCTTTTGCATTTGTGATACCTGTTTCTGAGGGTTCAGCCACAGTTGCTGAATTCTTAAACATTTTGTTGTAGAGTCGTTTCAGCACAGCCTCGCCTCCATCACACAGGAACTACATTAAGAGAAAATATTTTAATAAGCGGAGAATTATTTAAGCTGCACTTCAGGAAGTAAAGTCAGACGCAAAGCAATATTATAGAAATCGCTTCAAGAAAATTTAATCGCAAGATTGAGTGGGAGATAAGTTAGGTGGTCAGTCTTAAGACACTCTTATAAGAAGAATACATTTCTAAACCACTTCTGATTTTTTGGATATAATCAAGAAACACGCTTCATAGCGTTTGATATGTTACAAGTAGTGCAACTTACGTCTCTGAGTTGCGAACAAGTTCTTTCGTCGTATGCAGCAATCAGGACATGGCCAGGACCGACTAAAGAAACATGGAAAAAAGACACACAAAAAGTGAGCTGTTCATGTAAGTAACTCTATAGAAAGTCCTTGTTAATCCATGCAATGTTAGGGGCCGAGTTATAATACATCAAAACTCAAGCGCGTTTTCCGATTGGACAAGAGTGTGTCATGCGTCATGGGTCAAAAGTCACTAACCACCTCCCTAGGAAACGTAGGACTGGCACGTGACCAGGTCATGTATCTTGTCAGTCCTTCTAAAGAAATAACTGTTTCGAAGTTACAGCCGAAATTTTGAGTTAGAAGGAATAACGAAACACCTAAAAAAAGACTCCGCAATCGTGTTATCATAAAATAAACTTATATACTTGGTTCCATAAGAAAGCATGGCATAAGAAATGGTCATGAGAAATTCCCGAACGTCTGAAGTTTTTGACAGAGTTTACCTTTATGCACTAACCTTATAGTCGTGCTTATATCTTTGTTCAAAAATGCGTTAATGTTCCATCAAGAAAACAAAAACGAAGGGCGGTTTCAGAAAGCCAAACAAAACAGAGATATTATTACGTTTCTCTTCAGTTTTGGCGTCATCACGCTCTATCTCCTCCAAGACGTCAGCAAGTAATTTCCATTTAGGACTCTCTTCAAGAACAAATTCTTCTGTAAAACAACAAAAACAAAGTTCAGTTAAATCTAATAAATTCAATTCTTCTCCATTGAGCGTTTTCACATGACGTCACTGTAACCATATCAGAGAGGTTAAGCATGTCTGCATCACGTTTATGCGAATTTGTACCGCGTAACCAAGTATTTTTCTTAACTTGTCATAATTCATGGAATGCGTCCCGGCCGTAAGATGCAAACATCGATCGATCGATCTCAACAAGTGTATTTGTAGAAATATCCCGTTCGTGAAATTTCTGTGGCAGTTATTATGGCTGTTGTTTAACCACGCATTATCTTTCTTTTAGCCTTTGTTGTGCTTTAAAATAGAAGGACTATTTTATAATCAGTACACTGTTTTAGTTTCAGTTTTAGAGTGTGTCTTCAGATTAATGGTTACATAAACGCCCAAGCATTTTCAATTTCGGACTCGTTCTTTGTTTACTGGGACTCATTGGTTCTGGACTGGGTCTCATGATTTTTCACAAGATGAGTCCCAGGACTCACCATAACTATTTGTAACAAAATCACTGAGTAAGCCGAAATTTTTTTCTACAAACCGTTCAGGCCTTTCATTGTCTCTTATAACAAGTAAAGGAAACGCCTACCTTCCCGATCTTTGTCATTACTGGAATCTCTGAAATTAATCAATTGAAAAAAATATAAATCAAAGATGAGTTACATTTGTGTAAGGTGTCTACCGGTCTTCCCGTACACTTTTAAAAATTAACTCTCACAACATAATGTGAATGAATAAACGATCAAATTTTTATTTTTCAATTGTACTTACATTTTTATACAGATAGTTTATGGACGCGAATACGCATATTTTTTTCTGTGGTACGTTTGTAAAGTTATTTGTTGCGCCTTAGGTTTTTTTACCCACGCAAACGCTTGTTATCATCACTTTTTGTTTTAGTTTGACGGCATTCGTTCAGTCATTCACTTATTCATTCATCCTTTTGTAGCTTTTTGCTAATTTGTTTATGTTGATCTGGCATATTTATTAACTTGTTTGTTGATCAACCCATGATCTCAGCATTTGCCACAATTTTACCAGCACTCTACAGTGAGCAGTCTCTCATTTTCTTCAGATTTTGTGAGGGGAGTGCGCGTCGGCGAGACGCGAAACGCAAAAAACGAGGGCGGCTGCGCGAGAAGAAAAAGAGGGTAGCCTCTCCCTTTTTCGTGCCTCTCTCATCTCGTGTCTCACGCGTTTTGCTCGACGCACCAAGAAAAAAGAGAGACTTTTCGTAGTTTGGCATTATCCCAGCATTTTCTACTTACTGCTCTGACTTTTCTCCTTTCTTTTTCTTGTGTTTCCTCTCAGTGCTTTCTATAACTCTGGCTTTGGCGTTCTGTCAGGAAAAACGATAGTTTTAGTCAAAGAAAAGTCAGTCTAAAAGTCGCCACTCCCAAAAAAAAGGACCCTCTAAAATAAGACGTAAAAACTCGAAAACGGTTCCGGAGTAATGGACATAAAAATATGATCCCTTGTTAGCCCTTTGGGAAGGAGGGGTTCTTATTTCTTTAGGCCTTCTTGGGAAGCAGACGTAATAAATGAAAATATATAAAACCTACGGACAAGGACGCCAACGTAAAATAGGGATCACACTAGAAAGAACACACAATATTCTCACATTTTTGTGTGTTCAAGCAGGATCGACCATGAACGCTTTGCAAGTGTGTAAAATATGATAATTTATGACCTTACCACAAACAGAGAATCTGCAGCATCCATAAACATCCAAAGGGAATGATTTTTGACATCACGTTGGCTGGCCCTAAAAGGTGACATATAACTTTTGAGTTTGAATCTAAACAAAAAATCTAGAAGTAATAAACACATTGTAGCAAATCACACTGTTCTTGTTGTTTCTAATTCTTGTTTCTGTGGAGTAATAACCCAAAAAGATACATACATGTACACTGAATTGACAGCATCCATTTGATTACAACCTGCGATCAGACACATGGCGATTGTGATTACCTGAGAGACTCCAAAAAGTTGTAGAAGGTGACGCAATCATACTGTGTAAGGTAACTACAACAAAACAATAAGAAACGCAGTTACAGCTCTAAGAAGGTTGAAGAAAATTTTCTACTAGACAAATAGGCCTACATTAAATATATCATACACCAAACTATGAAGACACTGTGCATCTCAGATATCAGTAAAATCCAACTAGTGGTCTATTATCAATGCTGCATTTTGATTGGTTGAGCTACTACTGGGCTATATGTTATAGCCCACTAGTAGCGAAAAGCGCGGGCTTTTTGGCGGCAAAAAAGGATTCAAGTCTAACTTTAACTAGCTAAATTTTTTTTATTCTCGATATTTTTGACCAACTAGTTGGATTTTACTAAAACAATAAATTCCTCTTGCCCCCATGGCCTCTGAGTCAATAGCCCATATCATGAAGGTGGTATATGTGACTACCTGCTAAGTTCGTTCTTGCCTCTCTGGTCCTGCGTCAATTCAGCCACAGGCTACAAGAGAGGGATAACTGACACCTATGCATTCTTTTTATGTTTTTTAAAGTCTAACGAGTGACCAACATCAATTTTCTCCTAATAACTCATCCATACACAATCAAGAGAAAAAGTTCTGGGAAAGTGATGTCATCGTCATGAAATTCCCTCTACTTATCCTTTAACAAAATGTATAGAGACCAGTTAGGAGAATTTGTAGGTGGACATTTGGACTTAAAGAGTTAGCAGAATAGGATAAATAAAAGGACTTAGGATGCTTACAGCAAAACTAGCCTCAGCACTTTAAGGTCAGCAACCAACTGCTTGGTCTTGTTTCCCTGGAAATGTACAAAAATAATTTATTATAGAGCATTAAAGATGTAATATAATTAATAGAGGACACTTCATGGCCATGGAGAAATCTCTTATTATACATTTCTGGGAAACTGCCCACCTACCACTCCCCTAAGTGAGAAGTAAAGTGTTTTTGTTGGCTTAGGAGAGGGGTAGGTGTGAAGTTTCCCAGGAACATAATGATCGTAACTTACTTGTGACTAACTAGCTGGCATTTCTAAACAAGAAGAAAAGGAAAGCTCCTTTTATGGGTCAATTGCCTAATTTCAAACCAAGTCCAGGGTGGGGTTGGGTATGACTCCCTTTATTATGGGATAAACAACAAGAGGCCCACCAAGTCAGACAGAGGAAACCAAGATTTATAAATTCTCAAATTTGGTGTTTATCACGCATATATTGAACTAGATAGAGGCATTCAACAAATATTTCCAAACCTGACTATGAAATATAGACGTCCAGATAGTGTGTCTGGCAATCCATACATTTCTTAGCAGTAAAGTTGCAAGTTTTTAAATAGCTGTATCTTGTTGGATATTGGCCACATTATTACCAGACTTGAGAGTTTTGCAAAGTTCAGTGCGTCTTTCTGACTATGTGGGTCTTGCGTTGTTTATCCTATAATATAGAGACTTGTACCCAGGCCTTCTTGGTTTGAAAATAGACAAAACCGTCCACAATTACACACATGCTGGTTAACAACCACTAGTTAAACAGGTTAAAAATGATAGCATATTTATTTTACCAACTGATGCCAGATTGGATCCAACTGAAACCTCAGAACTTTATCAAAAGACTTGCTAATACTGTTCTCCACCGTCAGGTCCTCAGGGTCAAGCTATAACAAAAATTGCCAAACTGGAAACCTTTTGCATTTGTGATACCTGTTTCTGAGGGTTCAGCCACAGTTGCTGAATTCTTAAACATTTTGTTGTAGAGTCGTTTCAGCACAGCCTCGCCTCCATCACACAGGAACTACATTAAGAGAAAATATTTTAATAAGCGGAGAATTATTTAAGCTGCACTTCAGGAAGTAAAGTCAGACGCAAAGCAATATTATAGAAATCGCTTCAAGAAAATTTAATCGCAAGATTGAGTGGGAGATAAGTTAGGTGGTCAGTCTTAAGACACTCTTATAAGAAGAATACATTTCTAAACCACTTCTGATTTTTTGGATATAATCAAGAAACACGCTTCATAGCGTTTGATATGTTACAAGTAGTGCAACTTACGTCTCTGAGTTGCGAACAAGTTCTTTCGTCGTATGCAGCAATCAGGACATGGCCAGGACCGACTAAAGAAACATGGAAAAAAGACACACAAAAAGTGAGCTGTTCATGTAAGTAACTCTATAGAAAGTCCTTGTTAATCCATGCAATGTTAGGGGCCGAGTTATAATACATCAAAACTCAAGCGCGTTTTCCGATTGGACAAGAGTGTGTCATGCGTCATGGGTCAAAAGTCACTAACCACCTCCCTAGGAAACGTAGGACTGGCACGTGACCAGGTCATGTATCTTGTCAGTCCTTCTAAAGAAATAACTGTTTCGAAGTTACAGCCGAAATTTTGAGTTAGAAGGAATAACGAAACACCTAAAAAAAGACTCCGCAATCGTGTTATCATAAAATAAACTTATATACTTGGTTCCATAAGAAAGCATGGCATAAGAAATGGTCATGAGAAATTCCCGAACGTCTGAAGTTTTTGACAGAGTTTACCTTTATGCACTAACCTTATAGTCGTGCTTATATCTTTGTTCAAAAATGCGTTAATGTTCCATCAAGAAAACAAAAACGAAGGGCGGTTTCAGAAAGCCAAACAAAACAGAGATATTATTACGTTTCTCTTCAGTTTTGGCGTCATCACGCTCTATCTCCTCCAAGACGTCAGCAAGTAATTTCCATTTAGGACTCTCTTCAAGAACAAATTCTTCTGTAAAACAACAAAAACAAAGTTCAGTTAAATCTAATAAATTCAATTCTTCTCCATTGAGCGTTTTCACATGACGTCACTGTAACCATATCAGAGAGGTTAAGCATGTCTGCATCACGTTTATGCGAATTTGTACCGCGTAACCAAGTATTTTTCTTAACTTGTCATAATTCATGGAATGCGTCCCGGCCGTAAGATGCAAACATCGATCGATCGATCTCAACAAGTGTATTTGTAGAAATATCCCGTTCGTGAAATTTCTGTGGCAGTTATTATGGCTGTTGTTTAACCACGCATTATCTTTCTTTTAGCCTTTGTTGTGCTTTAAAATAGAAGGACTATTTTATAATCAGTACACTGTTTTAGTTTCAGTTTTAGAGTGTGTCTTCAGATTAATGGTTACATAAACGCCCAAGCATTTTCAATTTCGGACTCGTTCTTTGTTTACTGGGACTCATTGGTTCTGGACTGGGTCTCATGATTTTTCACAAGATGAGTCCCAGGACTCACCATAACTATTTGTAACAAAATCACTGAGTAAGCCGAAATTTTTTTCTACAAACCGTTCAGGCCTTTCATTGTCTCTTATAACAAGTAAAGGAAACGCCTACCTTCCCGATCTTTGTCATTACTGGAATCTCTGAAATTAATCAATTGAAAAAAATATAAATCAAAGATGAGTTACATTTGTGTAAGGTGTCTACCGGTCTTCCCGTACACTTTTAAAAATTAACTCTCACAACATAATGTGAATGAATAAACGATCAAATTTTTATTTTTCAATTGTACTTACATTTTTATACAGATAGTTTATGGACGCGAATACGCATATTTTTTTCTGTGGTACGTTTGTAAAGTTATTTGTTGCGCCTTAGGTTTTTTTACCCACGCAAACGCTTGTTATCATCACTTTTTGTTTTAGTTTGACGGCATTCGTTCAGTCATTCACTTATTCATTCATCCTTTTGTAGCTTTTTGCTAATTTGTTTATGTTGATCTGGCATATTTATTAACTTGTTTGTTGATCAACCCATGATCTCAGCATTTGCCACAATTTTACCAGCACTCTACAGTGAGCAGTCTCTCATTTTCTTCAGATTTTGTGAGGGGAGTGCGCGTCGGCGAGACGCGAAACGCAAAAAACGAGGGCGGCTGCGCGAGAAGAAAAAGAGGGTAGCCTCTCCCTTTTTCGTGCCTCTCTCATCTCGTGTCTCACGCGTTTTGCTCGACGCACCAAGAAAAAAGAGAGACTTTTCGTAGTTTGGCATTATCCCAGCATTTTCTACTTACTGCTCTGACTTTTCTCCTTTCTTTTTCTTGTGTTTCCTCTCAGTGCTTTCTATAACTCTGGCTTTGGCGTTCTGTCAGGAAAAACGATAGTTTTAGTCAAAGAAAAGTCAGTCTAAAAGTCGCCACTCCCAAAAAAAAGGACCCTCTAAAATAAGACGTAAAAACTCGAAAACGGTTCCGGAGTAATGGACATAAAAATATGATCCCTTGTTAGCCCTTTGGGAAGGAGGGGTTCTTATTTCTTTAGGCCTTCTTGGGAAGCAGACGTAATAAATGAAAATATATAAAACCTACGGACAAGGACGCCAACGTAAAATAGGGATCACACTAGAAAGAACACACAATATTCTCACATTTTTGTGTGTTCAAGCAGGATCGACCATGAACGCTTTGCAAGTGTGTAAAATATGATAATTTATGACCTTACCACAAACAGAGAATCTGCAGCATCCATAAACATCCAAAGGGAATGATTTTTGACATCACGTTGGCTGGCCCTAAAAGGTGACATATAACTTTTGAGTTTGAATCTAAACAAAAAATCTAGAAGTAATAAACACATTGTAGCAAATCACACTGTTCTTGTTGTTTCTAATTCTTGTTTCTGTGGAGTAATAACCCAAAAAGATACATACATGTACACTGAATTGAAAGCATCCATCTGATTACAACCTGCGATCAGACACATGGCGATTGTGATTACCTGAGAGACTCCAAAAAGTTGTAGAAGGTGACGCAATCATACTGTGTAAGGTAACTACAACAAAACAATAAGAAACGCAGTTACAGCTCTAAGAAGGTTGAAGAAAATTTTCTACTAGACAAATAGGCCTACATTAAATATATCATACACCAAACTATGAAGACACTGTGCATCTCAGATATCAGTAAAATCCAACTAGTGGTCTATTATCAATGCTGCATTTTGATTGGTTGAGCTACTACTGGGCTATATGTTATAGCCCACTAGTAGCGAAAAGCGCGGGCTTTTTGGCGGCAAAAAAGGATTCAAGTCTAACTTTAACTAGCTAAATTTTTTTTATTCTCGATATTTTTGACCAACTAGTTGGATTTTACTAAAACAATAAATTCCTCTTGCCCCCATGGCCTCTGAGTCAATAGCCCATGTCATGAAGGTGGTATATGTGACTACCTGCTAAGTTTGTTCTTGCCTCTCTGGTCCTGCGTCAATTCAGCCACAGGCTACAAGAGAGGGATAACTGACACCTATGCATTCTTTTTATGTTTTTTAAAGTCTAACGAGTGACCAACATCAATTTTCTCCTAATAACTCATCCATACACAATCAAGAGAAAAAGTTCTGGGAAAGTGATGTCATCGTCATGAAATTCCCTCTACTTATCCTTTAACAAAATGTATAGAGACCAGTTAGGAGAATTTGTAGGTGGACATTTGGACTTAAAGAGTTAGCAGAATAGGATAAATAAAAGGACTTAGGATGCTTACAGCAAAACTAGCCTCAGCACTTTAAGGTCAGCAACCAACTGCTTGGTCTTGTTTCCCTGGAAATGTACAAAAATAATTTATTATAGAGCATTAAAGATGTAATATAATTAATAGAGGACACTTCATGGTCATGGAGAAATCTCTTATCATACATTTCTGGGAAACTGCCCACCTACCACTCCCCTAAGTGAGAAGTAAAGTGTTTATGTTGGCTTAGGAGAGGGGTAGGTGTGAAGTTTCCCAGGAACATAATGATCGTAACTTACTTGTGACTAACTAGCTGGCATTTCTAAACAAGAAGAAAAGGAAAGCTCCTTTTATGGGTCAATTGCCTAATTTCAAACCAAGTCCAGGGTGGGGTTGGGTATGACTCATTTTATTATGGGATAAACAACAAGAGGCCCACCAAGTCAGACAGAGGAAACCAAGATTTATAAATTCTCAAATTTGGTGTTTATCACGCATATATTGAACTAGATAGAGGCATTCAAAAAATATTTCCAAACCTGACTATGAAATATAGACGTCCTGATAGTGTGTCTGGCAATCCATACATTTCTTAGCAGTAAAGTTGCAAGTTTTTAATTAGCTGTATCTTGTTCGATATTGGCCACATTATTACCAAACTTGAGAGTTTTGCAAAGTTCAGTGCGTCTTTCTGACTATGTGGGTCTTGCATTGTTTATCCTATAATATAGAGACTTGTACCCAGGCCTTCTTGGTTTGAAATTAGACAAAACCATCCACAATTACAAACATGCTACTTAACAACCACTAGTTAAACAGGTTAAAAATGATAACATATTTATTTTACCAACTGATGCCAGATTGGATCCAACTGAAACCTCAGAACTTTATCAAAAGACTTGCTAATACTGTTCTCCACCGTCAGGTCCTCAGGGTCAAGCTATAACAAAAATTGCCACCGTGAATTTTTGATAGAAGTCTTACAGGGTACAATATTTCCTACAAATGAGTGTGTACAGAGGGTTTCAACAAAACAACATAGTTATTTCAGATAAAACTCACAGTAGGGTTGGCCCTCTTCAGCTCTTTCAGACAGCTGTCAATCAAATCTAGAGCTGCTGTTTGAATAGCCAGCATTGAGGGTGTTAAGTGTAGATGAAGCTCTATAACTTCTGGCTGAAAAATAAATATTTTGGTAAAAATAATTTATTGTTACATGTACCTCTCAACATGTATAGACAAGCTTAGAACATCAGCCACCCACATGTATTTTGAGAAGACACACATAAAAGGAATTCATCTCAGGTACCCAAGGTGTAAACACAGCACAATAAATATTCTGTGCTGATTCCCAAACACTAGTTAACATGCAAACAATGTGATAATAATAACAATAATAATTTAATTTATACATGTAGTGCTATTAACATATGCTGATCAATAGTACAACTATGTACACATTTAAAAAACATTACTAAGTAGGAAATAATTTTTTAAAATGCAGACCAAAACAAAAACTTCTTAAGGTTGCTTTTAAAAGTACTAAGTGTCATATAACAGCATGCACGTCAGCAAGTAGGCTGTTCCATAGAGCATGTGTGACCAAAATAAAAGACCTGCTACCAAGTGTAAAAAATTGCAGTATCTCCTGAGGAATCAAAGTTCTAACAATGGCTGTTATTCAAGCGTAATGCATACGAGCTCTTGTGCTTAATCTGTATCACATCACCAACGGTGAAAAAGTGTGTAGCACACACTAGAGGAATTAATACCTTGTGCTTCTCCAGGAAAGCAGACACAGTAGCATGGAATCTATTGAATTTCACCAATAAAAAAAATGCAAATTAATTGAATGTAAAGATACACAAATAATGATTGTTTGGGCATGGATAAACTGGCTTTAAATACAGAAATTTAATGTTGAAGGATGGGCTGTTAAAAACAAGTTACATTCTATCCATGGGGGGATGGGGAGGGCGTACACCCCTCAAAATTTTTTTGACAACACAACATTGTATCTGACATTTGTTAGTTATAACATCAAAGAATAAGTTCTTGGAGAAAAGTGACTGACATCTCCTTTTTAAACTGACACATTGCAACCATCCAGGTATGTACTGTAAGGACTCATCAGAGTGACTTCAAAATAGATCCATGATAAGACCCAGTGTTAATACTGAATGTTTTAAAAATAGCTTTTTAAGTAAAACTTACATATGTAGCTGTATAGATTTTCGATTTTTTTTAACTTCTTTACTTGTATAAATGTTGATGTAGCTTTTTAAACAGATTAATTCTTAAGAATAACCTTGCCATGGAAATATTAGATTTTACAATTTTTATTTCTTTTTCTTTACTTGGATACTACAATACTTTACGCTTGCTTCTTTACATTTTAGTGTAATATCTGATACACTGTATGTATTTTTATCTGATGAATAAAAAATCTTATTATTATTACTATTATTATTATTTCACTTTTTCACTTATAAAGCATTATCTATGTAACAGTCAATTCATAACAATCTTCACTTTTGAAAGAGGTGGGGTTACATGGAAGAAGAAGAAGAAAATTCATGTACCTTGGCCACAGGTAGAGTTTTCTAACAAAGAGGTTTTTCATAACTTTTTCCACTTGAAAGAAGCCCCTTGTGAAAGCCTGTGGATGATCTGAGAAAGCCTTTATAAAACCAGTCTGAAAAAAAAAGAAAAAAACAAATTATATCTTGACATCTTCCTGTTTGAAAATAGCAGAGGACCAGACATAGAACCCAGTGGCACGGTCAACCTTTTATGGGTAGGGTAGGTAACTAATAATAAAAGGAAGTCCTGTTTTGTACCTTATCACCTTGATGATTCACTGCGGCAAGTTCAACAAACATAAACAGATTTAAACTTGGTCCTGAGCTACGAATAAAAATATGTGTGATGTTTTGGACTGGACTTAAAACCAAGAGGACATTGACAGAGACAAATCTAAGGGCCTGTTTACATGGAGGTGAGGGACCCCAGTTAGGTGAGGTAACATGCTTAGGTGGGGTAACCTGTCAGTCCATATACAGGGCTTCTGATATTTCGCGCGGTCGCGGACCCGTGAAATTCAGGTATTTCCGCGAAATCCCGCAAAATACCGCGAAATCCGCCAGAAATATTTCCAAATACATGTCGGCAAAACATATTTAATACTTATCTTGGCTATCAGACCGGTTTTATTTACCCCAAACGTCCAAATTTAGCTTGAAGCTTCGTCACTGCAACGAGTAAACAACGTCCCAAAACTACCAGGCGTTTTAAGATGAACGTTGCGAAAAACTGGGCACTAACCATAATGTTTATAGCTTTAACATTTGCTCATTTCTCGAGCGAACTGTTGTTAAAAGAGCAAATGATTATCCCTGTTAAAAAAAACCTTCACCAACGCTGGTCATATCGACGCCAAATTGATCGATTTTAGCGAAATTTGCCATAAACAACCCCAGCGAAATCGGCTGTTTTTTACTGATTGTTCCTTGGCGAAGTTTCCCCCCAAAATTTCCCGTGAAATTGGCCGATTTTCCTAAGAATTTGCCCCTGAAAATCTTTCGAAAATTGACTTTTTTGCGCTAAAATCCCGCGAAATGGGCCGATTTTTCTGCGAATTTTGACTCTTCTCCCGCGAAAATCGCCCGAAATCAGTCGATTGTTCCGCGAATTTTGACTTTTTTCCCGCGAAAATCCCGCGAAATCGGCCGATTTTTCCGCGAATTTGCCCCTGAAAATCCCGCTAAATTTTACTTTTTTTTCCGCGAAATATCAGAAGCCCCGCATATACATGTAATCTCTCATTTTTATTTGATCACCTTTACATGATTGGTGGGGTGACCCACCACATGTTACCTCACCTACATGTATCTGGGGTCCCCCACCTCCGCATAAACAGGCCCTTAAAATGCTCATACCGTCAGCTACCTTAGTATGAAATTGCTATGTCCCACTGCGTACCTTATTATTTTCGCGGTAAAGTCGTAGTATGAAAGCCTCCTGGCAAGATTCTATGATTCTGAAAAAGAAATGCTAGTAACATTATATAACTGACTAGAGAAATTGCATTGCAACATCATGATTAATATCTAATTATTATAATTCTATTAAATTCATTGAGTACATGCAGTCAAACCCCTTTAATAAGGACACAGAGGGGGCCAAACAAAGCGTACATATTAACAGAATATCCATATTTAGTGGGTTGAATTTAGAGAAAATGTAAGGGCTTTCTTTCCTCAGGGACAAAGTAAACTATCCGTAATAATGAGGTGTTCATATTAACCCTTTAAGTCCCAATAGTGACTAACGTCAATTTTCTCCTAATAATATCCATACAATGTCAAGAGATTAGGTTATGAGAATTAATAAAATGATCACCTAGGGGAAAATGCCGCTATCTTTTATCAAATTCTCTCAACTTATTCTTGAAGGAAATGTATAGAGATCAGTTTGGAGAATTTGTATGTGGATATTGGGGCTTTTTATTTATTTATTTTATTTATTTTATTTTATTTGCCACACAATAATTACAAAAAATATAGGAAAAGAAAAAAAAAAGAAGTGGCAAGGAGACCTAACAGAAACTATAGGAGCTTATGAGAGGTTAGGCCTCCTCGAACTATGAGCTAGAGCTGTTTCACATCAATTGAAGAAAAGAAGGTGAAAAGTCGAAGTCGAAGGCTTAAAGGGTTAAGCAGGTGACCGTAGAGAAGGGCTTGACTAAAATATCAAGCAAAACCTTTAACATACTTGTGAGCACGATATACAACAATCCCTGTAACCAAATGAATGGGAAGTCTCTTGGTCAACATATCTACCACTAAGATTCTTGATGTCACAAACAGAACCCCTCCACTGAGGTACACAGACTCTCTGCAACACAAAAATAGCCAAATTTAATTGTCATTTTTATTTTTTAGAAAAACCTTTGTCCTACAAGGTAAATTCATATTCTTCATATTCATTAGCAGGGTACAAAGAATGCCAGTTAACAGGCTTGCCCTTTGAGCATGTTGAAGTTAGCATATACTAGCCACACAAGTAATTTTTTAACTACATGTAGCCAGAAAAAGATTTTCGATGAGCGGGATTGATTCCAAAAAAAACTTCACTAGCCTGTCAGGCAAGTTAAGCAAAGAATCCACTAGTCCAATAGCAAAATTCACTAGCCCCAGGCTACTCAACACAACTTTCTTTGCACGCTGCACATACCTCTCTGAGGAACTGAATTCAGTGGTGATGACTTTTGGGAGTGGCACATCTCCAGACTTCAACTCATCAAGAATATAATCCTGTAAAAAAATAAAATTCTGCAAATCAGCACAAGCAAATAAAGAAAGAAGAAAGGACACCTGAAAACAAAAAAGTATAAACTGTACACTTGAGTTGGGACACACTAAGCGACATATCATAGCAATATGACGTGTCAACAAATCACTCTTTGTATACAGGTCAGGTGACAAGTTGTGCAAAACATAATGTTTTGCACAACTTGTCACCTGACCTGTATACAATTTGTGGGGAGAAATCACTTCTTGCGTACTAGAGAATTTTTGTGCAAATCTTTGTTTCTGCAATATGATTTTGTACTCACTATCTGTCTCCTCATTGGCTGAGAGCCTACGGTTTATTTTTTAATCAGTGCAACCTACAGTTTAAATAACTAATCTCAAGGCTGAGTGCGCAATGTATGATTTCCAAGAACAATATAAAAAAGTGTTGAGTGCAATGCATGGCGGTTTGTAGTTATGTTCTTCAAATACATGTTTATTAAAACAATTATTGGATTCTGTATTTGTGATATCCAGAAGAATCAAGGACCTTGATAATTCCAGATATCACAAAAACCTCAACTGATAATATTGTTCATTATCACCTCTTCTTGATCGGTTGTATTAATCACCAGGACCAATGAAATAGAAGACGGATCACTTGTGACACAGTGTATCTTCAGAAAACTTGCTATTACTCTCTCCATGCTCAAACCCCTACAAACCACAGATATTAAGAATGAACTGATACAACCAGGGGGGGGGGGACCACTGCCATATAAGGGCTATATAGGTATGTGCCGCTGTGAAGGGTATGGTTTTCAAGCAGTTTACTCTAGGATAGGGTACATAAATCAGAACATTTGGGTCTAGAATAGGGTATCATTTTTCAGGAAACTGATCAGTTGGTTGAAGATTTTAGTAGGGGAAACAACTACTCTAGGATAGGGGGGATTTGGGGAGTTTACTCTAGTACAGGGTAGCAAAATTTAGCTGAACTAGCTCTGGTTAGGTTAAGGGTTCCAGGGTCCCAGCGGCACATCCCCACCCAGAAATTCCTAAAGTAGCCCCCCATCGTAACTAATAGGTGTCTTTTTCTTCTTTCTTCTAAGTTTGACCACTCTAAAGAATTTAGTACATCTGATGATCTGGTAGAGTAATCAGCCCGAGTAATAATCCTGCTGTTCTATTTTGCAACTTTTGCAATTTGTCAGCACGTGTTTTGGAGCAGTCACCCCATGAGCTTAAGCTTCGTAGTTACTAAAACAAGGAATGACCTACAATGACCTACAATGACCTACAATGACCTACAATGATCTACAATGACCTACAATGACCTACAATGATCTACAATGACCTACAATGAGCTACTATGACCGAACGTGTAATCCCTGTAATGAGCTAAAATGAAGATTTTAGAAAAAGACAAAAAAAAAAAAGATCAGGGGACATGTGTGCGTAAACGTAGCACGTTTAGTCTACTGCATGACAGCCCATTTAACGATGACAGCATCTCTGATTATTACGCTTGGAGATAAATTTACAGTGTAATAATATATGTATGATGATACTGTGACTTTTGTCCAAACCATCCCTTGCAACCTTTCACATTAGTTTTATTTTGTCTTGTCTTTTTTTCAAACAAATTGAACAAACACAGTCACCCCAACAGTCGATCCGGGGGGATCTTCAAGGGACGTAAGGGTAGAGATTAACACAGGAGGCCTTCAAATTCTGACCCTGTTCAAAAGAAAAATTATTCATTTTTTTTAAGTACCCTGGCCTGTATAAGACATCATAAGACCCTTTAAATGGCTTTCGGTCCAAGAGGATGCTCTGTTTGTAACGCTAAATAGTAAAATCCATATCCTGCTCAGCGGCCCATACCCATCTAGGCCAAATAAGGGAGTGCCTGCATGACTTCCGTCAATACAGGGTATAATAGTGCTATACCAGTAAAAACGCGATTGCAATAATCTATTTTCGAGTTTCTCAAGTTACCTGAGATCAGGCACAATTTTTGTTTTGCCTTTTCAAAATGTGCTTGGCAATTTAATACTATGAGCCTAGTGTCACATCCAAGCGTGACACACGACAAACATCAGTGTCTGTCATTTTGTAGCTCATTGTAGGACTTAAACTTTAACTCATTTTAGCTCATAGTAGCTCATTGTAGCTCATCGTAGATCATTGTAGGTCATTGTAGGTCATTGTAGGTTATTCCTTGTTTTAGTAACTACGACACACGTCCCCTGGTCTTTTTTTTGTCTTTTTCTAAAATCTTCATTTTAGCTCATTACAGGGGTTACACGTTCGGTCATAGTAGCTCATTGTAGGTCATTGTAGATCATTGTAGATCATTGTAGGTCATTGTAGGTCATTGTAGATCCTTGTAGGTCATTGTAGGTCATTCCTTGTTTTAGTAACTACGGCTTAAGCTTACAGGTATCAATGTTTATGCTTCTCAGATCACGCTTGTAATCAATCAATCAATTTTATCTGTTGTACATTTATATGAGGTAATGAATGAAATTGTAGAACATAAGCTTAAACTCAAGCTGAAATAAACAGCTATAGTTGTTCGCCCTCCATCAATGGTCGTTAGTTTTGTGCATATAAATTCAAGCAGAAATCAAGATATGTTTTTTGCTTTGAAAAGCTTACGTACTTCGCTGTAACGAACAAGCCATCGTCGTCCATGAGCTCAAGAAACATGGAATTTTCATATTCCGACAATGAGGCCGCCATTTTTGCTATAGTCTCCGGGGAAAGACCGCTGTTCAAAAAACTCTCGGGTTTCTAAAAGTCACCAGGTTCTTCGCGGTCAGTGGCGGCCAATGGAATCTTGGAACGGGAGAATTAGGAAAAGATAATGTTAGCATTAGATACTGAAGTCAGATTGTTTCTTTCAGTAAAATTACATGAAGAACAACTTAAGTCCAACTTTACTGTGTAATATAAAAGTGAAATAGAAAAACTCCACTGTGATGCTTTGAACCCAGGCAGGAGCCGATTACTTATCGGCTCCTGACCCGGGTCACTGGCTTTATAGCCTACATCCATATCCACTACACCATCGAGGACTAGCTGCCAAATACAGTAATTTTTAAAATATACATGTTCTTATGCCGTACCCCATTACAATATTTGAAAGCTAACCGTTTTCAGTTCAGTGCTTAACCCTAATCACTGCAGGCAGTGCTTAACTCTCTACTGTGTCCTCTCCATAACTGGCGCTCTGTAGTTTTGGTTTCTTCAGCTATTCAACAGGAGGGCATTTTGCATGCGCATGCGTGAATCCGCTGAACGACAATAGAATGGGCGCAGCAAATCTGATGGCGGGAAATCGAAAACTCGTGCGTAAAGTTACAGTTCTTTTGTTTAAAAGCCATTTCGTTGGTGCTTTGAATACCGTACTTTCCTACAAAAAATATTCTCCATGACAAAGATCAGACGTTTTCTACGCGGGTTTTCACTTGTAGATTTTTCAGCAGTAGGTTTTCTTGGCCTTTTAAAGACTTTCAAGACTCAACGCCAAAAAGTCATGTTCCTGTTTAAGTCTGATTTTCACTGGCAAAGCAATGCATTTCTATGGTTTGCTTTCCAAACTCGTGGTTTTACATAACAGGGAGGAAATGCATCGTAGCAATGTTCCGCTGCTTTAAGACAAAAAAGCTAAAAAAAAAATTTACCACGCGAGGCGCGATGTCTCATGTTAAACTGATCGCGAAGACAAGCGTTTATATATGCCACGAAAACGTGAAATCTATGGGGGTTTTACAGTATTTCGAAAGTTTTCGCGGAAAAATTTATGAAAAATATTCTATAGGAAATGAAGAATGGATTGAGTTTGAGACAGAAACAATTACAAGTGATTATGTAGAACATAATCACTTGAACATTTCATAAGCTCAGTTGCAGATAAAAACGAATGCACATACTCCAAAAAAACGAACAGTATTTTTATTTTTCTTTAACTCTAAAAGATACAGAGATTTTCTAAGCTACTACTTTGAAGCGACTCTTGAGTAACAACTCCTGTGTTCCACAATCGATTTTTTGTTATTAATTTATATTTGATGACAGTAGTGATCCATTTAAAAACAGAGACTGACCATCACTCCATAAATCTAACTGACCATGTTGTTCACCTTCAACGTCTGTTTAAACATAAGATAAGAAGTTTGTTAAAGGGGTGCATATAATGCTGTATCCTCAAAAAATAAATACTTCTGCTAAAGGACCCAAATGATCTGGGATGCGACAACAAACATGACACAAATGGATGGATGAATTTGTCTGTTATTGCTTCTGTTGAAAACTTTTTACTGTATCCAGGTGAACCCCTTATGTAAGTTGTACATCATGGAAGAATTATCAAGCAGAAACTGGTGCATTAAACAAGAATGTGGTTTAATACAGAGGAGAAGCTGGTCTCAGTCAACATCCTTCGTGAATGAAATGTCTCACAAATTAGCATATCAACAAAATAATGTAGTATCCACAAAATGGTATCATTTAGGAATAAATGCGATTTTTTTACAACAGAAGCCAGGATTTATTTAAAAGGTGTATTGATAACGTTTCATTTCGTGCTATTTTGGGGTTGGGGAGTTAGGCTAGATTTTCTTTAAAACGCCAGAATGTTATATTTATTTGCATAATGAAATGTAAACAAACAGTGTACCATAAAAATATAAGGTGGAAAAAGTCAGAATTCAAACCGATTACTGTAATTTTTTTCCTTTGTCTAACTAAATGATAGAATATTCTTATTTTCAAAACAGAATCTTACTGGCATCATTATATTGATTTAAATTTATAGTTGAAGTGCATGTATTTTATTTCTCAACGAAGACGTACCGGAGAAGAAAGCTAAAATTACTGCAGAAGGCGATTTTTCACAGCCTTCATCAAAGCGCCACTCATTCGCGGAAGTATTCTTAGTTTCATTAATCATTAAGTTAATCTGGGGAGAAAGTCAAGATTTCGAGATAAACAAGCCAGAGAAAGGGTGAAAAACAGTTTCACGGCAGAATGGACATTTAATTAACCACCGTATTCCTGAAACGATTAAGTTCGATTTTAGAGTTATACTAATGAGAAGAATTAAGTATCTATAGGATAATTGTTTAACGAAAAACTATCATACTGACCTTTTCCTCCTGCTCAAAAAATGTGTGCGAAATGTTAGGTGGTAAGAACGTTCAGCCGCCATCTTGTCTTCGATATACTTCGATGAACTTCGATGAACCCCGGCCTCTCCAGGGCGACAGCGAGGCTACAATAAACTCACTTTCATCGTAGAAATACCTCGATACCTTAAAGAACATGTTTGTGAAACGTAGCACCCCATACACGTCATTCAGCTCCAGAAAACAGCCTGCAAATGCTGGTACTGAATGTAAACAATTCACAGAAAATGCCTCTATGGCACTTCAACAGCCCATATTGACGCATGCGCATACAAAATGCCCTCCTGTTCAGCTATTCTAGCCTCATTCAACCCTCATTCCCCTCATTCTACATTCCAGTCTCGTTCCATTATGGAAATAATGCGTTGTGTAAAATTCATAAGGTGTCCAATCTGGCTTCACTCGATGTTATCTAATGCTAACCAAAAGATAAAAAAAAGTTGGGGAACACTCGCTACTGGCAAAGGTCAGGTCAGCAGTGAATATATAGGAGTATGGCCTTGGAGGGATTTCACGATATGAGATATGGAATAGGACAGGCCAGGTGTCGTTCAATGTATCTGCTAGACAACGTCTTCTATTCTTCCATGAAACAGAGGAATTCAAAGACCTCTAGTGAGTCTGAACGCGCGCAGGCCAAATAAATTTTGAATTGATCATGATATCTTACCCTTTGTGGAAAATGGTTTAAAATGGTGCCCTTTGTTTAATATCCCTACAGAAGGGTTTTGATCAATAGCTCTCAGCGGGCAACTTTGAAACACTTTTCTTTATAGTCACGTACAGTGAAAGGAACTGTAGATAAAAAATTCTGAATCTAATAGGTTTAGGGAAATGATTTAGTCCTTATTTTTGAGTCAGTCCGGTTCAAGACGAGGCTTTTCCTTCTGCCGTCTAGGTTCGCGTGAGTATTTTCTTAATTAGTGTACATTGTATGCTAGCGACCTCGACACTATAATAAAGTTCTTATTTACTTACTTTACTTACTTACTTACTTACTGACTTACTTACCTAAAATCGTTAGCTACAAAAGTGAACGGAACAAATCAAAAGCCATCTGCTACAATGTTAAAGGCTCCTCGCGTCTGTATTTGTTCGCCAAATGAAAAGAAAACCGCAAACAAATTTGGCGACAGGTTATGTGAAAATATAATTACGAGGCGCAAGGTTACAAGGAAAACAGAAAGAAAATCGTTCTGCCTTAAGTTATTTTGAACAGGTTAAAAATTCTAAAAAGCTCAAAAATTGTATCCAAAATAGCCATTGTTACTCTTTTTAAGGTAGTTTCCTGTTTGCAATTTTTTTATTTATTTCACTCAGTCAGGAGACAAAAATTGAGAATCATTTTATATTATAATAGCGGTTACTGAAAATCGCACTAGAGATAATAAGTTTGCCTCCTAGAGTGATCATGAAAATATGGCGCTTTTTGTAATCAATTTCCTCAACTGAATTTCTTCTCAGATAAAAAAAAAAGTATAAAAGTTTACACATTTGCCAGAGGCAAATACCAAATACAATACAATATGAAAAGTATTAATTTTACAACCATCGAGGATGGGTGAATATAGAGTTGCTGTTGTTTGTTGACTTCAAAGCTCAAAAGCATTTGCAATTTTCTGCATCAGTTTCATCAGGAAATTAAAGGCAGAGCGAAAAGAAGTACCTTATTTAAAAATTAGTTTTCATTGAGAAGGTAAAACGCTTCTGCTGTTTTTGGAGTTTTTCTAGAGAAGGTTAGTCACGTTATGCTTTTCTTTTCTACCTAGCGTAATGCAATACAATTTCCTGTTTGAGCATTTACCCTCTGGAAGCAATTACGCCCTTTTCGTTTTTATTTTATTTTTTTTGACTTTATCTTCGACATGAAGATTTCAGTACTAAAACAATCCATATAATTGGAAATAAAACAAAGTAAAATAAAAGTTAAGTAAGAAAGTAAAGAACAACAACTATGATATTGAATTACTGAATAGTATTAACATAAAAAGAAAAACTGCTAGGCCATGTAAGGCTTCTACGCTAGTCGTACGGTAAGAAAGTTTAAGTTAGAGTTCCGATTTAAAACAATTTAGAATATTTTAATATTCACAATCAATTAAGTGCATTTAATCAAGTACAGAGGGCGAAAAAAAATAATTTAGTTCCTTGACGCAAATACCGTTTGCCTGACAGTACTTTAAAATAAATGTTTTAAAAGAAACCGCCGCCTTTGGTTACGACATTTGTTCAGCTGTCGGAAAATGGCAGACAAGCGTTCAAAGATGTCAAAGATATGGTATTTATATCAGTTCTATAAAGGGAAGCAACCATAAACGATTGTCGACAGGCGGAAAGAGCTATTTTGTTTCAACTAGCAAAAGTTACTGGTATCAGCAGCACGTCGGTTAGCTTCAGTTGGATTTTAAGGAAGTAACCAAAGCAATCCCGGCGATAAGGGTACTCTGTTTATTTCAAAGGTAACTTAAAATACTTTAAATATCAGTTTTACAGAACTCATTCCAAAAATACCTTAAATGACTAGATACAAAGCAGGACCGTATTTAAAACACA